CAGATATATATGCTCCATGAGCAGTTCCTAAGAAATCAAAAGTAGTATGCTCTCCTGCAAAATAAACTTTCTAATCAATGGCTGCAGCTATATTCAAAGGATCATGGGAATTTGACCCAACTTTCATGTAGGAAAAGGCCATCTTAGTGAACTTATCATAACCCCAATTTGTCCTTTTATAATTTATAAATTTAGGCGCTTTTGGATAGAGAATTCTCAATGTTTACATAGCTGAAGCTAATACTCTCTCATCAGATTATTCTGAAAAAGCTATGGCCTCCCTTCCAATATTGAACATCATTAGGATTGGTTTACCTGTATACTTGAATAGATTAGCTGTGATAATCCATTTAAGACCTTTATCAGAAATGTGATTAAACCAAGTAGAATTTTAATCCCAAAATACATGATCAAACTCTAAAAACAGTTTATCCATAATTCCAGAGCCAAGTTTCTCAATTGATTCTAATTTACTCTAGATCAATGGTGGATTAAATAGGATCTCCTTACTTTTTAATATACCAAGGGGAACTGTTACTATAACTTTATTGGCTTAATATACTTCTCCATCAGTGGTCTTGATAGTTATTAGATCATTTAGATAATCTATTTCTACCACTTATTTTCTAAGTATTATTTTTAGCTCTTTAGAAAGCTAATCTGTTATCTTTTAAAAACCACCCTCGACAACATGATCTTTTCCAATAAATAACAATTTACTCAAAACATATTTTGCTGAGAGCTAGTCAGAATCAGCAGCATTTTTAAAACCATAAATAAAGCTTTAACTAAAGTTTTTATAAGATTTCAAATTAACTCTCGAGCTTTTAACAGTAAAATTACGAAAGATATCCTCCAAGGAAGTTTAGTCTGTAGCTAAAGTGAGATGACTTTTTAGATAATTTTTAAGTAGTTTAATGTATTAGTTGAGATCACTCTAGTCGATGTCTAATTCCCCTTTCTAATGCTAATAGTACTTTTGCTTTGCCCCCATATCAAAATCTAAAGAAGGAATCAGCGTAATGTTATTCTCCTAAGCTATCTGATATAAAGGATTGTATGAATCCTGCCATATACTTCTCCTTGAAGTACCTTTCCCTGTACCACCAATCCATGAAGCTCCTAGATCAATAGCTACATCTTAACTAATAATTTCGCTTTTAATTCTGCCTCCGATTCTTTCAGAACCTTCAATAATTACGACATCACATCCAGCTTTTTACAATTTCTAGCCAGCAGCCAATCCTGATAATCCCGCTCCGACTATTATGACCTTATCTTTGCATTATAATTCTTTAGATATGACTTTCCTCTCTATAAGAATTATGCAGAGAGATAAGGTAATCAAGAAATTTATAGAAGGCATCGAATTTCTATTATATTATTTTGTGTTATGAAATCTATTTATTATTTTATCTCAATTTGAATTAACAAATTTGATTCTTGGGGTTTTGGGGTTTTGGGG